TAAAATATTTTTGTAAATTATCACTTGAGAATAGCCATTTCTATCATATTTTGAGTGGAGAGATTAGGAGGTATGGAATAATTGCTTCCCCTTCAGATAATAATTAAAAAGCTATTCTTTGAAATAATACTTTCAAATTTGAAGTTCAATTTGTTCTGTTTTGTTTTTTTAAACAATATCAAGTAAACAAAGGACAAAAACGCTCCACATACTGGTTTTCACCCTGGTTTGAGGATAAAGTATGTGATCAGCACCTCCCTTCTCAGTTTCAGAAGTTAGCATTATCTGAGAAGTTGCTATTCTTAGGTCCAGCTGTAATGTTTCTAATTGTGGTGCTAGGAGTAGTGAGTGCTTTCTTTCCCAGAAGGCTCTGCATTCTCAACACGTACAGGTCAATTTCACATAACGCTACCACAAGAAGCAATAGGCCCTTTTGCAGGCTGTGTTTCTAACTGGAATATTATGAGCAGACATTGCGAGTCACAAGCTGTATTTGGAAACCAGCTGCATGTCAGGACAAGCATGGATTGTTGTCCCAGGAGGCTGAGAGAACACAATGATTAAATATAATTTATTTGTGAGATAAGAAGAAAAAAGTATCTTTCTACTGACAAGATTGACACCGTCTTCGGAAGTGAGCTGACCACTTGGAAAGTATTCACTTTCCAAAGATGATGATCAAGGAAACATCTTTGCGAAGGGACCCGGATTTAAGGGGAGAATTAGCTTTCCTAGCAAGGGGCTGTGATTTTGTTCTCCCTTCACGGTTTAAGAAGAGGCTGAAGTCATTTCAGCAGACACAGGTTTGAAACTTGGGTGCTTCTTTTAAATATTTTAATTACTAATACAACCACCCAGTAAACTAACACACAATTTTATTACTCACTTGTATCTTGATATTAGGTCAAGGAATTAATCTATGTTCACTATTCAGCTATTTACAGAAAGCTATTTGTAGAGGGATTCCAGCGGGTTTAAAAATAGAGCTTCTGGACCCGGAGTACAGTACTCACATTTTTATCCTGCAGGGAGGAATCTTGTTTTGCAGACAATAAATACAACTTACTAAATATTTACCAAGCATACTAGAAAGTGAGAATTCCTGTAGTAACTTATTTGTAAATTTAAATCAGTAGATTTTATTAAGATACAATGAATGTTTGTCTAAAAGAATTTGGATCTTGTTAATATTTGTAAGAGCATAGGTTTTTTTACTATATTTATTAGTGTGTGTATGATGTATGTGAGCACACTTGCCATAACACATGAAAAAATCAGAGAACAACTTTACAAAGTCAGTTGTTTCTTCCACCTTGATATAGGCCCTGGGGATCAAACTCTGGTCACCAGGCTTGTGTGGCAAATGCCTTTTTCCACCAAACTATCTTAGCAGCTCCCAAAGATATTTTTATAAAGCAACAACTGTGTATGTCTGTAGTAGACTCTGGATGTGTAGACAATGAATAACATTTTCTTCTACATTTTAAGTAAATGCCATCCTCTAGCAAGCTGATACTGATTGCTGCCTGAAGTGACTAGTCTCTGCTGCACTGCTGACCATCTTAGGGCCAGTGTCTGTCTCACCACATAAGTTGCCTAACATATAGTACAATACAAAAAGGGGGGACTATATAAATGCTTACCATCCAAATTCCAGCAAGGAACCATAACTTTATAATTATTCTGACCCAGAAAACCTTCAAATTTGGGGGTGGGGGGGTGAAGTAGGTGACATTTTTTCTTTCTGTGTGTCAAAATGGTCAAATACTGGAATATTATAATGACAATATCAGTGACTGCTCAGAATGACTAAGTAATGTACTAATGCTAAAAAACAGAAGTAGAGAACTGAGATACTTTTCCCAATGTATTCTTTTTTATTGCTAGTCCTATACTGGACCTAAACAGCTCTAGTTTAAACTGAAGATATAGCAAACCTGTTGGCAAATCAAGCAAAAAATTACATTTTTTAAATCTTTATTTATAAAATCAGTTTTATTATACTACTTTAAGACGTGTCTCCTAGTAACACACTGCAAGCAAATTAACAGAGCTGAAAGTTCAGAATAAGTGCATGCTTTTAATACTAGTTCTCCTTACTAAGCAATGAATTAATATTTTCTTATTAGTCAGTTGCTTTGTATGAAGAAGTATACACACAAGAGAAGAGAACAGTAGGTTGTCAAGTGTTTGCCCATTCAGTTAACTTTGGCAGCCAGTGTTTGTTCTGAATGTTGTGTTCATCTGTCAGTACAAATGCACAGTTAACACTGAAGGTCTTGCCCTAGAACTCAGCATGTGTCTATACCCATTAGTACCAGTGGTCTTAATTCTAATGCCATAATTCTGAAATTAAACCTAACTTCCCTGCATAGCATACTGTTGAAAACATTGTCAAGAAACAGAATTTTGATGGTTGTATACTTAGAGTCTCACAAACCTCTTTCTGCACAAAATAACAGAATAAACATCACACTAATAATAAAATCTAGGCAGAGCCTCTGAAGATCTGCCCTGTTTCAGAATTTTAAGAATACTCTTTGGTGCTGCTGACTCATATGACTGTGCAGTGGTATTTGCAGATTTAGCATTAAGGCAAAGAAATGTTTATTCAAAATAGATTATCACTTTGCTACATCAAGAGAGGTTTATAAACTTTAGATTGCTTTACAAGTGGACATGATTATTTATTTAGAATCTAAAGGACTGTGCCAAATTCGGCATTGTTTGTAATCTCTTGAGAACCCCACTGTTTGGCTTTGTCACTCATTGCCTTTCACAAGGACAAATGTGCTCAGCTCCGCTTGGAACCCTTTATCTCTGTTACATTCTGTTATTTCCTTAAGTGCCCACAGTCTTCCAAAGAGTGGGGATTATTCTTTCTGTTTATTACTGAAATTTTAAAAGATTAGGTAACTCTTCTGAGGTCACCAACTAGTAAGCCATCACTGTTTACTGCTGTGTGTTTTTTATGTTCATTGGCCTCGTTTTCCTCTGTGCTGTTCCTTCCTTGACTATGGCTTTATATTGGATCACTGTTCAGAGTAATTTTTTTTTTTAAAAAGTAAAGAACATTTGAAGAATACTTTGTGTTCACAGTAAATTAAAAATAAAACACCTTAGGTCTGGGAAGATAGCTTAGTGGCAGAGAACCTGCCTACCATCCACCAGTACTGGGTGAGATTTCTAACACACATACACACACACACACACACACTAACTATTCAATAACTGTGTTTGTCTTTCATTCTTTATGTGGCATCTAATTCATTGCCATGCTCTTGACCCTTGTTAATTTAGAACCCTGCAAAACTTCATGAAATTCTTTTCTATTTTTCTTTTCTGCTAGGAATCTCAGAACTGAATTTATTCTTCATTGATAAAAAATAAACTCCTAAAAAGCTGGACATATGGAGTTGGCAAGATGGGTCAGCAATTAGACACACTTGCTGTTGTTCTTAGGGAGGATGTGAGAGATTCCCAGCATCAACATGGGCTCCTAACCATCTATAACTCCAGACCCTGTAGATCTGATGCCCTCTTCTAACCTCCACAGCACCAAGCATGTACACGGTGAACAGACACATATGCAGGCAGACACTCCTATCTGAATGGTGGTATACCTCCCTTGACTCTTCCCTTGATCCTGAGTAATATCTATCTCCACTGCTTCCCCATTTCTCTTCACACTGTGCCTTCGAATGTCCCATGAAGCACACCACAACAAATACTTTTTGGGAAAAGGAAAGATATAAACTGTAAATTAACATTTACTTAACTGTAAAGACTGATTATAATGAAATTAGTGACTCTGGTTCTTGCCTATTACAGCATACCAAAAAATGAGTTAAAAGTATATCTTAGAGGAAACAGCCTACTATTTTAGGGGAAGGGGCAAACAAACCAGCCAGAAGTTTTTTAAAATATTTGTCAAGTGCTGGTAGTAATTCTACTTTGACAAAGTCAAACTAGAAAGAAAAATCCCATATCCCAAAGACACTTCAATATGTATATTTTCTTTTTTAAGAAGGAGTCTCATGGCTAGACTTCAACTTGCTAGATAGCAAAGGACGACCTATATAGCTCCTGACCCTCCTACCTTCCAAGTACAGGAACTACAAGCATGTACCACCACACCAGGTTTTTTATTCAGGACTTGGCATTGAACCCATTGCCTTGTGAATGGTAGTCAAGTACTCTACCCACTGAGCTACATCTCCAGCCACTAATTGTATATATTTTAGAAAGCCCTATGGTCACCACTATACCACCAATACAGACATTAGTTGTATATTTTTAAAGGATTTATCATTTCTTCCTTTGGGGGTAGAAATTCACACAAACACCAAAAACGGTTTTCAAAAAGAACATAATTAGTAAAGTTCCAAGAGACTCAGAATATACCTTAACCCCCACTGGCTGTGCCAAAAAGCTACCTTTGCATTGTTCTTGTGTAACTTTTTTTGTGTATGTTCCTACCTGTACTACTTTTGCATGGGATGATTTTAAAAGGCCAAAGATAAAAGGGTGTTTTCTTGTTTTTTTTCTATAAAGTTGCATTTGTTTGTTTGTTTGTTTATTGGCCTGTTGGATATATGTGTGAAACAATATTCAACAATAAACTGGAATTTTATTTTTAGTTGTTCTAACAACAACTAAAAAAGAATATATTTTAAGATCTTTATCAGCTGATTTCGTTCTAGCTGATATTGGTCTTTGATTATCCTTAAATATTTGTCAACTAATAGATGGGAAATTTTACTGCAGGATTTTTAAACCATAAATTATGTGACTTATATATTGACAAATAATGTTTATTTAATATGGAAAACATTCCCTAGAAACATGCTTAATGCCCTCTAGAAGCTTACTTTAAAGTGAACCCTTGATCACTATTGTCTCTGATTGAAGGGTTTTTTGTATTTACATACTTCTTATTGCTGCTGAGAAATATATACTGTTTAGAATTTTTGTATCTTATAATCACGTTTTTCTTCCAGATTCAAAATAAACCAGAAAAAAAACCTGCATCACCATTTCCACCTGCAGCTGCCCTTCCAAGTAGTCCCCAGCCTGTCTCCCCTGTTCCTTGTGTGAGTGATGTCGTGAATACACCGTTGTCCATAAACATTCCACAGTTCTACTTTCCTGAAGGACTCCCAGACACCTGCAGTAACCATGAACAGATCCTAAGCAGAATTGAAACTGCTTTCAAGGATATTGAAGATCAGAAAGCAGATATTCATGAAATGGGGAGAATTGCAAAGGTAATGTAACTACTGAATGGAACGCACTAGCCCTCTTCACTGCCTCTTTGCTCTGGCCTTAAGCACAGGTTTTGATTTTGGTCTTCCTATGATGAAAAGTATTTGATCCTAATGCTTCTCTAACAATGGTCCTTCTTCCTAGAATTCTTTTGTTCATTCTATCTATCTATCTATCTATCTATCTATCTATCTATCTATCTATCTATC